AAGAGAAGGTAAATGACTTGAGGTCACCCAGCAGGTCAGGGGTGGGGTCCAGACGAAGCCTTCCCCACCCACCCTGTGCGCAGCAGGAGAGTGCAGGACTTAGCTTACTTCTTGCCAGGGTAGATTTGCTGTCCGTGTGGGCCTTGGCCAGGCCAGGCCAACGCTGACTGGGCAGTGCCAAGGGCAAGACCAGCAATCCGAGGAGGATGAGGTGCCTCCAGAGTGGACGCATCTTGGGTTCTTGGACCTACAGGTGTCAAGAAGGGTCAGATAGGGCCTGGGCAGATGGCTGTGAGGGTGGCCACCAGGATGGATGGGCTCATGGTTTTCTGCAGGAAGATGATGCCAGAGTCAGCACCCCCAGCATACTGGAGGGTGTGTGTGTGAGGGACCCTGGCAGCTGCCACAAGGGCTTGCTCACATGTGGAGAGCGGTAGGGGGAACCTGGGAGATCAGGGCTCCAGAGGGAGGCCCTGTTGCTTGGAGACGCTCACCAGGCCCTCTGTTGGGTCACCCAGCAGGAGTGCTCTCCCAGACCCTGGCACAAGCTGGATGTGGGTGACTCTTCAATGAACAAGTGAGTGGATGAATGAGTGCCTGTAGCTAATCCCAGGCTCTCCAATTGGACCAGGACTTTCTGAAGAGCAAGACCAACCTCAATCCCTGCCACGATGCTTGCTTGCCAGAAATTAAGTACTAATGAAGGTTTGCTGAGTGACCAAATGACTGCACAGATGACTGAGGAGATCTCTGGATCTCCATCAGATTAGGAGTTTCTGGAGGGCAGGGGATGAGTCTGATTAATCTTCCTGTCTACAGTGTCTCCTGTGCTTGCCACATGATGAGTACTGGTGAATATTTGTTAAATGATACAAATGAATAAATGAAGAATTGGATGGATGGATGGATGGATGGATGGATGGATGGATGGATGGATGAATGGACCTTATTTTTCCAGCTAAGATTTACAGGAGGGGAATGGAGAGACTTGAAGCCAAAACGTCAGGTTTACCTTGGGG